CTTCAAACTGAAATCATTACTCTTTAATATTTTGGAGTATTTCCCAACAATCAACTTGCTCAAAGCAATGCATTACCTGATCTCCTGACTGATGTTATTAATGTGGTTGATTGCTGCTCCAAGTAAGATCAAATAACTGATAGTTTCAATCCTTTCCTCATCTATCATGATCTTGTCTATTGGTGAGTTGTGTGCTGGCCTGCAGAATGCTCTCCTCCCCCCTGCCCCCCACCAAAAGGGGTGAGCCTTTGACCAAGGGTGAAGATCTGCTAGAGGGTGAGGCTTTTAAATCCCTTAGTGAGGGAATGGGTCTCTGGGCTGGCCAGGGGGCTGAAGCCTCCACTCTGGGAGTTGGCTGCATCTTGATGGCAGTCACTTTGGTCACATAAGGGAAGTGTTTTGGGTCGTGTTTGATGTGTGCTACTGCCCTTTTCTCCCTAAGAGTGGGTGTCCCTTGAGACTTTGACCAAGGATAGAGGTCTGCTAGACGGTGTGGCTTTAAACCTACAGAGCCCTTGGGCCTGCGGATCTCAGTCCATATTTATTAATTTTCGAATGAATATTCTTTAAATGGCACATGAATCCTATTTTCTGTATTTAACAACTTGGAGTTCTTGTGATGCTGAACATTCTTCCATAGCCTTGTCAAATACTATAATGTTGTTGTTGTTGTTCTTATGTGCCGTCGAGTCGCTTGCGACTCATAGCGACCCTATGTACAACAGCCCTAAACTCTGCTCTGTCCCGTGCCAATCGCACCATCTCTGACACTCCCATCCCGATTATCCCAGTAACTGAATCAATCCACCTCATAGAGGGCCTTCCTCTCCTGCGCTGTCCCTCCACCTCACCTTCCCAAACATGATGTGCTCCAGTCTCTCCTCACAACATGTCCAAAGTATGTTAGAGGGAGCCTCAGAATCCTTGCCTCCAAGGAGCCACCCGGTTTAACCCTTTCCAGGACAAATCTGTTTGTTTTCCTAGCAGTCCATGGTAGTCTCAATACTCCTCTCCAGCACCACAGCTCAAAGGCATCAATTCTCCTTCTATCCTCCTTGGTCATTGTCCAACTCTCTGATGCATAACAAGTGATTGTGAAGATCATGGCTTGTATCAGACGCACCTTAGTCTCCAGAGAGACACCATTGCTCTTCAGCACTTTGGAGCTTCCAGAATGATTCATGCTGGGAAGCAGGAGTGGCACCCACTTACTAAAACTAGATGTGTCTGGAAACTCGACACACTCTCTAAACTATAAATGTACAGAAATGATGTTAGTTATAAAATAGAGTTCAGGTCTTTTGTGCAAGGGTCGCTATGAGTCATATTCAACTTGACGATGCTTAACCTTTGCTAAATGAGACTAGTGCTATCATATCTGGAACACTCTTCCACTTTATACGTCACTGTTTGTAAATGTGTGATGCTGAACCTTATGCCTTTGGGTATCAAATACCATAATGGTTTCCCAATGTGGACAGTGTTTGGTGGAGCTCCTAGTTGTAAAACAGGTTTGGAAGCAGGAGTGGCATCCACTTCTTTAACGACATGCCTCTGGAAACTCTATGAACTTGGAGAAATGATGATCGTTATGGAAAGGCATTAGGTCTTTTGTTCATAGAGTCTCTATGAGTCGTGCTTGACTCGATGGCAATCAACAACAACACTCTCAGTAGAAGTCAGATCAATGTAAATTGAAATAATAAAATATCATGTTACTAGTGACATATTTTTCTTTAGCTGTTTTAAGTACCAATACAGCTCTGTTGTTAGCTGTTGTTGATTGCCTCAAGTTGATCACAACTCATAGCGACTCTATGAACAAAAGACCTGAAGCTTTTCTGTAACTATCATTGTTTCACTCTTTCACTTTATATAGCACAAGGCTCAGCATGACAACAAACCTAGATTACCTCATTTCAGTAAATTGACAGAAGTAGGCTGTATTACTTAGAAGAATGTGCCTCCAAAATATAGCAACATTAACTGATTCAACTATCAAACTGAATTTTAAGTTTTAAATTAAAAAAAAAATTAAATCCAAGGGCCCACCATGAGACCATTCATTCCACAGTCAAATAATTCCATTGGCCCCCACCAAAAACAAGAGTGGTGCCCAGTTTACAGCGTTCAGACATTCCCCAGTCTCCAACCCAATTATAAATCCAAGGGCCCTCCATGAGATCATTCATTCCACAGTCATTCCCAATCAAATATTCCCATTGGCCCGCACCAAAAACAAGAGCACCTATCTTACAGCATTCAGCCACTTCCCCAGTCTCCAACTGAATTTTAAATTCAAGGGCCCTCCCTAAGGTCATTCATTTCACAGTCAGTCCCAATCAAATGTTCCCATTGTCCCTTACAAAAAACAAGAGTGCCCATTTTACAGAGTTCAGTACATTCCTCAGTCTCCAACCAAACTGTAAATCCAAGGGCCCTCCATGAGGTCATTCATTCCACAATCATTCCCCATCACATCCTTCTGGAGGTAGTATAAATGGGTAGACTGACTCTCAGGGGAACAATTTTAAACTAATGAGAAATTAATTTTCTATATCTAAAACCCAAACCCACTGATGTCAAGTTGATATCACCTAATTGCAACCATCCATTCATACAGCACACTGACAAAGAGTGATGTATAAAGAAGAGTGTTCCTCCAGATATAACAGTACTAGTCCCATTTAGCAGAGGTTAAGTGTCAAGTCAAATACGACTCAGAGAAAGTTTTGCACAAAAAACCTGAACTCCATTTTTTTTTAAGTCCGTTGAGTTTTTGAGGTTTTAAATCTTGATGGGAAGAGATTGCCAATCTTTCAAACTGACAATCTTTTGGTTAGTAATCACGGAGAAAATCTTTCAAGGGCAGAAAGGGATACTTGCAAGAATAATGTAATAATGAATAAGTAATAAGTAGAACTAGTTTTCCTTCTAAAGGAAATATGCTTTTTAAAGAGTGGTATAAACAGACTGCTGGTGTCAAGCACTTTCTAAAGCACTTGGCTGTTAACCTCAAAGTTTTAAAGAGCATGCAACAGAAGTGCTTCTTGGGGCATGTTGTTAGAAAAGGCTAGTCCTTGGAAAGGGACCTCATGCTTGGAAAGTTGGAGGATTGGTAAAAGAGAAGATCCTCAAGAAGACCGTCAACCAGAGGCGTGACACAATGACTGCTACTATGTGAGAGATAGGACAGGGTTCAGATCCCTTGTTCATAAGATCATGGTGAGTCTGACTTGACTTGTTAACACCTAACAACAGAACAGTAATTACATGCTAATGAAAATTTTCAAGTTGTGGCTCACATTGAGAAGAATGGAAATCCCAGAACACTTGATTGTGCTCGTGAGGAACCCATACCTGGACCAGGAGGCTGTTGTGTGAACTTAGTACTTAAAAAGGATGACACATAGCTACATATAGGAAATTTTGGTCGCCTAATGATAATAAGTGTGCTTCTGGTCTAAAAGGCAGGTGGTTTGAGTCCACCAGCTGCTCGAAAGGAGAAAATGAACAATCTCTTCCCATCCAGTTTACAGCCCCTGAAAATATATTTAATAGTCAGCTATGAGTTGGTTCAGACTCGAGGGCATAATAGGAGAAGCATCTACATTTAAAAAGAAAAAAATAATGTTTGAAGGGGAAAAATAAGCAGAGAAATCTGGTGTATAGTAGCTTCCATAGCAAATGAAAATAGATTCAAACAGAAAACTTAAGAGTTCAGGGACACTCCATTCTTTATACTTCCGGTTTTCTATTGTTTGTTTAAATTTTTTAAAATTCCAATAAATTTCTCAACTTTTAATTTTTTTTTAACTTTAGCATGAATGTTTGAAAAAACAAATTAGTGTGATTAACATTCTCCATAAGTCACATAATAATATAAAATTGAAACCTTTTAAGAATAAAGTGAAGGACTTGGATATTACATCCATATCCTATCTCTTGACCTTAAAGCTCATCTTACTTTATCAGAGTTTTGAAGTATGCTGTAGAAACACTTTTTAAAGTGGTAACTTGAATGGAAACATTTAGGTTTTCAACAACTTTTTTCCATTTTTATTTTCCTTGAATACATTATTGCAATTCTTTTTAGAGCACTTTTCTTTCAAATGCATCTTAGTATTAATAGTATCACTAAAAACACGCTGAGCATATTTTGACTGGCACGTTTTAAAAGTTTTAATACTATTTGGCAATTTGTAAGCAGCTAAGTCCCTCAATGTTGTGCTAATAAGAGCATTTCTGTTCCAAAACTTTGACCTTGAACCTCATTCACCTCTAATTGTATGTACTGAAGTAATCGGTACATAAAGTTCGGGAAGTTCTGTAGTTACACTCTTTAGTATGGATTTTAGGAGGTAGCTTGTGGGGAGAAGTATATACTGTAAAGAATATATGAATCACAAACCTGTAATCAGAAGGAAACAAGTTATGAAAAGGGAATTGGCGCCAGTCAGCAAACAAAGCTAATTTTTTTGCTGATGGTATGGTTGTTAAAGAATCAGGCTGCTATTAAAAAAGTCAGCAGTTCAAATATATACATTAGTCTCAATGGGAGATGACTAAGGCTGTCAGCGCTCTAAAGATTTTCCCTTGGAGGTGGATGAAGACCAGGGTTAAAGTTTTGGAACAGAAATGCTTTTATTAGCACAACACTGAGGGACTTAGCTGCTTACACATCGCCAAATGTTATTAAAGCTTTTTAAATCTGCCAAACTTTTGCTCTATTCGGTCTCGAGTTGGAAGTTGACTAAGCAGAACAGGGATCTTTGGGAGTCTAGTAGTAAAAGCTGTACTGCAATTTAATCCACTAGCTGCTCTATGGGAGGAGGATGGGTAATTTCCTCCTGTGAGATCTAGTGCCCCTCAAAACCCGCCGGCGGAGTTCGTTTTAAATTTGTAGTAAAGAAGAACGTAACCGAAAAGGAGCCATTCCAAAGGGAAACCCTATTTGCATCGCTTTCTCTCACTCTCACGAGGAGGCACGTTGACGTTACACTGCTTCCGGACGGCGGTGGGAAACGCCTTCTGGTTGGGCCGTGCTGTTGGCGTGGGCGGGTTCTCGCATGTCAATCGGGCCGTCTCATTGGTTCTCGGTCCTCTGCCTGGAAGACATCAAAAAAAAGAGCCCAGAGTGATGGTTCTGCGGATCCGTGGGCCGCTCTCCTGATGTCCCCGTCGCCCAGAGCCATGTGGTTCGTCCTGGGCCGGGGCTGGCGGCGTTGGGCCACCCGGCCTGCGGGAATGGGGCGGCCTGGGCTGTATTGCACTCGCAGCCTCAGGGCTGCTCCCCAACTCTGGGCTTCAGCCCGGCTCTACAGCTCTGCAGACCGCAAGGTGATCGTCCCTTAATCTCATCAAGCAGGGTGCTTCCTGCACGCTTCTGAATAGAAAGGGCTTCCACTTCATTCTCAGGGAGGCCAGGTTCTCTAGTCACCAACTAACTCTTCGATTGTTTATTCTGTGATGTGGTCTAATTAAGTATAAAAACCTACTGAAGAAGCTGCTTAGCGTTCCATTTTCTTGCAATTCATTGTCCATGTCACCTACATGTGAACTTTTATCTCACAAACGTGGGAAGGTGATGTAAGACATGCATGTTTTTACTCGGTACCTAGAATACAGGTCTTCTGTGTTTTAGAATAAATTTAATAACTTTTCTAACCTGGATAATTTCGACCCTTCACTTTTTTGGTTTGGAAATAGGAGATTTGCTGTTTTAAAAGTACTCTCTGATCAAACTGAAAAGAGAGGTTTTTTTTTTTTGTTTGGGTGTTTTTTTGTGTTTTGTTTTGGTTTTTTTGAGGGTAGGAAAAAAGTAATTCAATGCAAGTTATGAAAAACGGGGATGGGGAAGGAAAAAATAAGATCTTGTGTGTAATTAAACATTTTTAAGACCTTTTTCTGTGGAATTTAATGAGGATTTATATTGCAATTAAAAGTTCCTTATAAACATTGGTACAGTCTTAATAAATCTTTTTAATTAAAGGCTTTGGGATTGATCAGCAAATCCTGAGTATATTTTTTGGTAGACTTTCTCGCTGATTTATATGTACCTTTATTGTCTTCCTGTATTGGAATACTTAAAGTTCCTGTGAATTCTCCGTAAGTTTATGACTTCTCCCTGTTTTAAAGCAAATTGCCTAGATGAGGTAAGGAGTTGCATCTGGCAACCCAGAGGTATGCAATTCAAATCCACCAGCTATTCCACAGGAGAAAGATAAGCAGTTTCCTCCTTTGTGATTAACTGTCTCTGAAAACCTGGAGTGTCTGTCAGCCATGGCTCAGTTCAGCTTGATGGTACACGACAACAACAAACCAGTTTCAACAATAAAGCACTAAAATAGGAATATGTACTGAAAAAAAAAGGACCTTTTATTTTAAAATACTTCATTTTTAAATAATCAGGAAAGGTAACATCTGTTTTGTTTTTCTTTTTCTGATGGCACCTTTTCCACTTTCCACTGTAACAAAATTATATTGAAACCTTTGTAGATTTGTTTGTTAGTTGTGGTGGAGTTGAGTATATAATGACTCTGTTCTCTAGTTGGAGAAGAGTATTGAGGGTGGACTGCTAGGAAAACAAACAGATTCATCCTGGGAAGGGTTAAACCGGGTGGCTCCTTGGAGGCAAGGATTCTGAGGCTTGTCTAACATACTTTGGACATGTTGTAAGAATGGACCAGTCTTTGGAGAGGGACATCATGCTTGGGAGGGTGGAGGGACAGCGCAGGAGGGGAAGGCCCTCTATGAGGTGGATTGATTCAGTGACTGGGGTAATCGGGATGGGTGTATCAGAGATGGTGCGATTGGCACAGGACAGAGCAGAGTTTAGGGCTGTTGTACATAGGTTCGCTATGAGTTGGAAGCAACTCGACGGCACGTAACAACAACAACAACAGTGTCTAGTGTCCTAGTGGTAAGAAACTGAGCTGCAATCCCAGAAGCACTCGTTTTACTCCACTAGCTGCTCGGTAGAAGGACTGACAGTCTCCTCTCATGTGATTTAATCTCTTTGAAAACCCACTGCACGGTGAGCTATGGTTCGGTTCCAACTCGATGGTACACAACAAATCAGAGCCTTGCCCAGATCCTGAGCCATCCTCACCATTTCTGACATGTTTGAGCCCTTTGTTACAGTCACTGTCAGTCCAACTTGAGGCTCTTTCTTCAATTAGGAGTACAAAGTTTTAAATAAATATAATTCTAGTAATTAAAAATGTAATGTGTTCAGAGAGTTCCCTTTTATTATTTCAGCTTTTCTGTTGGACCAGGGCATTTTTAGGCTCTTCAGGAGTGCTAAGTATCTTGTGTTCTCCACAAAAATACATACAGTTCCTGATTGGCCCTGCTGTGTGCCATCTAGTTAATTCTGACTTGTGCAAAATACAAAACCTGTTGCCATCAACTTGATTCTGTGCCATAGTGATCCTGTAAGATGGAGTAGAAGGCCCCATGATGTTCCCTAGGCTATTATCTTTACAGAAGCAAACTCACAGCTTGCTTCTGTGGGTTCAAAACACACCTTTAGGTTAGCAGGTGAATGCTTGTGCTTTTCTGACTAGTAACACTCTGCTCTCAAGTCAGAACCAACTCATAGTTGATCCTCCATTGTGCTGTTTTCTGTTTTTAGGCTATAAGTCACACAGGGGGATATTTCTAGTCTTTCTTCTGAGTTAACAGTGCTATACCGTATGGACTACACCACCAGAGCTCTTCTAATTTACAGAGATTCACTATGACAGAATAGTGTCTTTTTGGTGGCCCTGCAGCTAAGCAAAGGGCTACTATTTACATTTGACTGAAACAGATCCACCAGCAATATCATTTGTAAAAGTTGAGTCTTAGAAACTTTATGGAGCAATTCTCTGTCAGAAGAGATTTGATAGTGGGCTTAAATTCAGAAAAAAATAGTATAATTGCCAGAAATAAACAGTTGAAAAGGGACTAAGATTATTCTTTGAGTTCATATTCTTGTTTTATATTATGCAAAATATATACTTAAGTATTATTCCCCCTTTTTAGGAAAAAATTGACATATCTACATTTCCTGTAGAAAATATTAGAAATTTCAGTATAATTGCGCATGTGGATCATGGAAAAAGTACTTTAGCTGACAGGCTCCTGGAACTAACAGGTATTTATTTCTCTTTTGTATTGTACACTTGATGACAATTTTACCATGATCTCTTAAATTTTGGTTTTTATTTCATTTGCAATATTGCCACTTTTCTTAAAGCCCATAGAAATATCAGTGTTTTCTGTTTACAGGGACAATTGATAAAACAAAGAATAATAAGCAAGTTCTTGATAAATTGCAAGTGGAACGAGAAAGAGGCATCACAGTTAAAGCACAGACGGCATCTCTTTTTTATAACTGGAAAGGAAAGCAGTACCTTTTAAATCTCATCGATACCCCTGTAAGTTGAATATTTACTTGCAGTTATATTTAAAGTCAGCCTTGTGCTTTTGCACATGTTGTACAAATAAACCCTTGGTAAATATTCACTTAATCGTATGAACCTACTTTTGCTTTTACCTCTGTGTTATTTTTATATATATGTTATTTCCCAAATGCAGGTGGAAAAAGAAATACTTAGCAAATGTTTACAATTTTTGTCAAGTCAATAGATATATTGTAATACTTTTGGTTTAAAATAAAAGTATTGATGTACATAGACATGTAAATCACTAACATTTTGAAGTATTATTATTTTTTGTGTGGTTTTTTTTTGTTCTCAGGGCCATGTTGATTTTAGTTATGAAGTATCCAGGTCACTCTCTGCTTGCCAGGGTGTTTTACTTGTGGTTGATGCAAATGAGGTAGGTCATCTAGTTTCTTTCTTTCTTTTTTTTTTTTTTTTGAGCAAATTTTAGAGTAAAGAGAGATGAGGGCCAGTGCCTTTGAAAAATGCCATCTCAGAAAAAGGGAAGTTTTCAGCAGGTATTTTACTCAGTAGTCTTTTTGCTACAAGTTTAGGGATTGTAGTCTTCAGTATGGACTGAAGCTCAACATTAAGAAAACAAAAATTTTTACCACAGGGCCAGTTGACAGCTTCATGATAAATGGAGAAGAGACTGAGATTGTTAATAACTTCACCGTGCTTAGTTTCACAATCAGCACTCTTGGCACCAGGAGTTAGGAAATGAAAAGACAAATTACATTGGGAAAGTCTGCTGTTACTGAAGTACTGAAGAGCAACAATGTCGGTCTGGAGACTGAGGTACTCCTGATCCTAGCAATGGTCTTTGCAGTTACTTGCTATACATCAGAGAGCTGGACATTAACTAAGGATGATAGAAGAAGGATCAATGCCTTTAAGTTGTGGAGCTGGAGACGAGGGTTGAACATATGTTCACTGCCAGGAGAAAAAACAGATCTGGCCTTGGGAGGATGAAACTAAGCTGCTCCCGGAGGCAAGAATTTTGAAGCCCTCTTTCACATACTTGGGGCATGTGGCCATGAGGGACCAATCGTTGGCGAAGGACATTATTCTTGGAAAGGTGGAGGGACAGCACAGGGGAGGAAGACCCAGAATGAGATATGTTAACTCAGTGACTAGAGAAATGGGATTAGGTCTGTCAGAGACAATAAGATTGGCACAGGATAGGGTGGAGTTTTACAGCTAATGCACATAGGGTTGCTTTGAGTTCCAGGTGGCTCGATGGCACATAACAGCAACAGTCTTTATTTTATATGATGTGATATTCTACTAGTTATTTCTGGAAGGGTTACCTTACACTGTTTAAGGAATATAATTTTAATGTTCAGAAAAAAAGTAATTTAGTAATTAGCCAAAACTCACAAGTGTCATTCAAACTCGTTCTCTGATTCTCAGTCATGGAATACCATCTGTGCTTTATGGACTGAGGACTGGGCTTGACAATGGTTGATGCAAAAGTTTGAGTTGGATTATTACCACAGATGTTGGCTGTTTGAACCTACCCAGGGGGTAACATAAGGGATAATCATGAATCAGAATTGCTTTTTTAGGGGAGATATGGAGAATCAAGTTTACTGGATTGAAGTCTTTGAGGGACTGTATTTCTTGTTTAAGTCTAAAGTACCTAACTGTGCCCAGCATAAAGAAAGCCCTCCAATTAAAGCCACCTGAATGGAATTATCTGATGTGATAATCCAGATAGATAATACGTAAGTACACATACTATAGTTTTTACCTTTGCTTGACAATACTATATCAAGCTTGGTAGAGTTCTGAGGCTTACTCAGCTTGCTGTAATTATTGCCTTAGTATCAGCTGACTTCATTTTGTCACACAGGAGATAAATTTGATAAAAATGTAGGAACAGCATATAAAAAGCAACAGAATTTTAGTTCTGTTGAAAATATATGGAATGGTCTTAAATAGTTTTGTGACAGATGGTTAGAGTGATCATCTCATTATCTTCCACTTTTATATTTTTCAGGGTATTCAAGCCCAAACAGTTGCAAATTTTTTTCTTGCCTTTGAAGCACAGCTAACAGTAATTCCAGTTATAAACAAGGTAATAAGACTACAAATGCTGTATATTATGTTTCTAAATTTATTTCTATGTATCTTTATATGGGGAACTCTGGTGGTCTTGACTAGGGGGAGTTGCTTTGCTAACCTAAAGAAACCTTTGGCTATTTGAATCTACCAGCAGCTCCTTGCAAGAAAGGTGAGCACCCTCCACTGGTGATTTACAGCCTCAGAAACCCTATAGAGGGTCACCTGTGAGTCGATTCCTCCTCAGTGGCAGTGGGAGTGAGAATGAGAGAAATGAATATTTAGTATTTGAGTGTCATGTATTTATGTATGATCCTTAGTTGTTTAATAAATGTTACAGGATTTATTTCTTTGACTTGCATGTGATAGCCTTATATGGCTTTGTGTGTACTTTCTCTGAATTACCTGCAGCGAGTACGGAAGGGCTGTTTCCAGAGTAAAGCAACACAACCGTTGACAAAATGTTTCTGCTGTGCTAAACTACAAATGCTTATTACCTAGGAAGGAACAGTGTAATCCATAAAGCATAACAGTTAGTACTAAACAGAGAGTTGCTGATAAATTTCCACAGTTAATATTATAATTAATCATTTTAATTTGAAAGTCTACATTGAATAAGGTAGTGCATAATGGAAGCAGGAGTGGCATCCACTTCCAAAATGGCTTGTCTCCAGAAATTTTGAAAAGAGTGCTCAGGTTTTTGTTCATAGGGTCGCTATGAGTCGTCTATGACTCGACGGCACTTAACAACAACCTTGCATAAAATAATCCTTAACTAATTTTTAAATACTGAACTTTAAAGTTTAGGAGTTAACTTTAAAAGAAGTATAGCTGCCCATAGGTAAGACCTGTTGTTGTCACACTTACTATTAAAATGATAGTCTATGCCTAACTTATCACGTCACTACATATGGTGCTAATTGAGAGAAAAAAAATACTAATGATTTTGTTCAACCTTAACTTGTCAGACACACTGTGTTAGCTCTCATTCTGTGGGCCTTGTTTGTTAAAATAGCATTGCATGTATCTAGATTAATATCATAAAACATGAGAATTCATATTAAAACAAGTAAAATACTGTTAATGCATTTTAAGTTTTATTAAGATATAATAGATTACTTTTTTTTTTAAGATAGATTTGAAGAATGCTGATCCTGAAAGGGTAGAAAAGCATATTGAAAAGGTGTTTGATATTCCAAGTGATGAGTGTATTAAGGTAAAATACTTTTTTTGAATACTTACATTTTACAAAATCTCAGGTAATTGGTCTAGGTGAAATTTCATAGTATTTTATAGCCTGGTTTTATAGTTGAAGTTAATTTTACTACCATTTCATTTGATTCCTGCCAAATCCCTTCAATATATTATTAGGAATTATATAGTGCCAGTGTTAGAAATTACATTATCAGACCATACAGGAATTAATTACTGCTAAGATTGTTCAAAGCTTCAGTTTGCTCAGCTCCATGGTCAACACTCTTGGCACCAGCAGCCAGGAAATCAAAAAACATATCACAAAGGGAAAATCTGCTGTTAGGGACCTCTCTAAAGTGCTCAAGAGCAACGGTGTCTCTCTGGAGATTAAGATGTGCCTGATACAGGCCATGGTCTTTGCAATCACTTGTTATGCATCAGAGAGTTGGACAATGACTAGTGAAGATAGAAGGAGAATTGATGCCTTTGAGCTGTGGTGTTGGAGAATCCGAGTATTGAATGTACCCTGGACTGCCAAGAAAACAAACAGATTCATCCTGGAGAGGGTTAAACGAAGCTACTCCTTGGAGTCAAGGATTCTGGAGCTTCGTCTGACATACTTTGGACATGTTGTAAGGAGAGACAGGTCCTTGGAGAGGGAAATCATGCTTGGTCGGGTGGAGGGATAGCGCAAGAGGGGAAGACCCTCTATGAGGTGGATTGATTCAGTGACTGGGGTAATCGGGGTGGGTGTGTCAGAGGCGATGAGATTGGCACAGGATAGAGCAGGGTTTAGGGCTGTTGTACATAGGGTCGCTATGAGTCGCAAACGACTCAACGGCACCTAACAACAACAACAATCTATATTTTCAGTATGAATCACATTTCAACATAGAACAAAAATCTTCACAACTGAAGTAATAGAACATCATCATAAATACAAGAGATTGAGGTTGTTAAGGATTTCATTTCAATTGGATCCACAATTAAGTTCATGGAAACAAGAAACAAGAAATCATACGCTGTATTGCATTAAGCAGTTCTACAAAGGACTTCTTGCAAGTGTAAAGAGCACGGCTGTCACTTTAAAAACTAAGGTGTGCCTTACCCATCACATAATTTCATTCACCTTTATATCATAGGGAATTACACTGCTGATCCACAGGCTACACTTCTCTGGTAGTTAAAATCCACCATCCAATTTATGGGAGAAGGAAAACCAGTCACCACCTGAGATATCCACAGCTTCAGAAACTTACTGGAGGGGCAGCTATGAGTTGGTTCTAATTTGATGACAATGAATTTATGTGTATATGCTTGTGAGAACTGAGTCATGAGTAAGGAAAGCAAAATAAGTAATGCCTTTGAAATACATTGGTGAAGAATATTGAGTACACCATGGACTGCCAAAAGAATAAACACACCAGTTTTGGAAAGTACAGTCAGAATGCTGGTTGAAAGTACGAATGATGAGACTTCTCACATACTTTGGACTTGCTGTCACAGGGTTCACATTCTGAAGTTCATTCCTGGTAAAAGAGGGCCGTTGTAAAAGAGGAAGACTTTCAATGAGATGAATTGACAGCAGTGACTGCAACTGTGGGCTCAAACTCAGAACTGGTTTAGAGGATGTGGAACCAGGTTGTGTTCCATTACATGATATATAGGGTTGCAGTGAATCAGAACTGATTTTAAGGTGCAAACCAACAATCTTAAGGAAATAAATTTTTTTTTTAATATCTAAGTCCATGCCATTTTAAATTTGAATTAATTTTTAACCTTTCTCATGATAATTTGACCATTAGTCATAACCATAGCATGCTATGCTTTCTGTACTTTGTGATTTTAATTGCTAAATTCTATTTTGTAGTCTAGTTTGAAAACTCATGTTTTAGATGATAAAGCTGTTTGTTTAACTTTAACATAGTAGATACTATGTACATCTTAGTGTACTCTAGCAAGAAGGGAGAGAAGGTGTTATGTGCAGTTGTAGAAGTTCTGAATTTACATGAGGAAGGAAGCATTTGAGGTTTTCTCTTTGATTATAAACTGAAGTTATGTGAAGGGAATAGCAGTCTGATTTGTAAAACTAATTTTTTAGAAAAGCAGAATTATTAGCTGAGCAGGAGCTGGCTAAGGAAGTGTGGGAGTGAGAAAGGAAGGTAGTGATGTAAAGTTTATAGAGGACATATGCTGGGACTTCTAGGAAGTTCTAGGTGCATGTAGAGATCCGTGGCCTCTACATGCACCTAGGAAGCTTTCAGTAGGAACCATTAAGATCAGGTATGTGATTTCTTTTTTAAGAATGTTTAGCTGTTCTGTATACAGCTATAGAAAAGGCAGATGGTTGGGTACAGTCAAGGTTAAGATTTTACAGTTTGCTTTTGATAGGGAAAAAAGGAAGTGGTTGGACACAGTCACTTTAGTGACTGTCAAAAAATGGTAGACCTTGGGGTCTGAGCTGAGAAGGATGAAAAAGAGAGGCAGAGAGTGGGGGTGGGCCTGGGGGTA